AGCATGTTCCTACCCATCTCAGACTTCAATCCTGCCTCTCATTCTACTCTTCACAATTGCTTAGTGGAACACATAAACTGTCCTTGAAGAAGGCTGAGCTAAAATAGGAGCAGAATAGCTCTGCTTTTTCTTTGTTTCCTGTTAGCATTTGGCTACATTCACTGAGCAGCTGGCATACCAATTCTTTTCTTTCCCCTTCATTTAGAATATAACTGAAGAAGCCCATGTTTTTGTTCTTGGCATCTTTTTGCCAACTGTATCTCATTCAGAGCATTTGTTTTCTTGACATCACCTCTATCTTTTGAGATTATTGATGTGTATTTTTTACTCCTATATATGTCTTTTGTTGTAGTAGTTGTGGTTTTATATTTATGTATTATGTTTTTTGTTTTATTTATTTTCCCTTATTTGCCTCCTAGAAGAAGAAGGAATCTTAATGGAAATTAAATCACCGATATATATTTCTTTTTAAAAAACCAACTTTTAGTAACTATCAGCGATGTTCTGTCTCCTCCCTTCCTAAACCTGTGTACCTATCAGCTCTGATTTCCATAATCTGAGCCCTTAGATTGATATACAGAAGGTCTGGAGTTCCACCCAGGTGTCTGTCTGTAGTCCCAGTTAAGTCATGGGTACACTTCATGATTTAGATAAGTCATATACTTCATCATTTTTATCTTCTGTAGATGTGGGGGGAGTGGGTTGGAAATAACATTTTGTTGGTGTGCTGAGAATTAATTATTACATTCTGAATGTAATATATGCAGATAAGGAGGTGAGCAATGAACTCCCATATCTAAAACTGATCTGTAACTACTAATTTACTGGGTGATCTAAGGACTTAGTTCTCTCTACTTTATACACACACCCCTTCTGCAGTATGGGTATAACATACTGCTCTCTTTCAAAGTCTTTATAAGAATTATGGAAGTTTTTTAGTGTCTGAAATGTATTTTATGAATATAAAGTAGTGGCTAAAGGCGATGTTCAAGGATCTTGTTGCATGAACTGTGGTGATTCTCTCTCTAGCATGCCATGATGCTTCCTGTCCTTACACACCACATCCGTTACCATCAGTGTCTGATGCATTTGGACCGACTAATCGGCTACACTTTTAAAGACCGGTGTTTATTGCAGGTGAGCTCATGCTGACAATCATATACTTCAATATAACTGCTGTACTAAGTTGTGATAAAATGGAGGGAACAGGGAACGGATGTATTGGTATGTTCCTATTGGCCTTTAAATCCACTTGCCCCAACCTGAGTGCCCTCCAAATGTGTGGCCTTCAATTCCAGAATCGCCCATCCTTCTTTAGGATTCAACTCATTTAATTTCTTAGGGGAGGCTGCTGGAGATAATGGAGCCCAGGTCCTAAGAGGCAGGGATTAAGAGAGGTAATTGGAAAGAGATCCAGAACACAGTGGATCTAACTGGGCTCTGAGCACTGAGCGATGGCTGATTAGATAGAAAGAAATGGAATATGGACGTAGAATAGAGGACAGCAACACAGTAGATTTGTTTTTATTTTTTTAAGTTTAAATTTGTAAATAATTTTTATATTAGAAACAATAAAATGGCCAAAGGGCTGTGCGATTGCAAAGGATTTCAGTAATGTCATCTGAAGAAACCAAAATCTCATACAACTTGTCATTCCCTGATAAAATTGGGTGGTCTTGCAAGTTTCTTAGGCCATGGGGGATGTCCCGGTCCTGAAAATGTTGCTGATCCCTGGAATAAGAAATAAGTAGAAATGAACACAGATGAGGAAGAGAAGAAGATTTGGACATAGATGGAAACAGAAGTTTGAGAAGGAGTCAGATATGTTCTCCCATATGTAATCTAACATCTGTATTTGGTAATGAATATATAGGCAGTCCTTTAACTCTGGTCTCAGTAATTACTCAGGGTGGGGCTGCACTCCTCCTGACAGAGTAGATTTGAAACTTAGAGATCTTCTTGGACCTGAATCTCCTACATAAGCAGCAGGTGAACTTCATGACCAACTTTAACTGATGTTCCAATTATGACCCTGCCTAAATCAGGATACCCTGCCATTAATGTCTTGATCACCAGTGGCTGGACTACTGCAAGGCACGCTACACGGGCTGCCTTTGGAGACAACTCAGAAACTGCACCTTTTTCAGAATGTGGTAGCCACACTGTTGGGGAACAGTCCCGCCATTGTAGAATAACACCTACTTTGAGGTCACAGCACTGGTTGCTAGTAGGCTTCTGGGGTCAGTTCCAAGTGGTGACTATCCCCTAAAAGCTCTGTATGGTGTACCATCAGAGACTGCATGGGTCAATGTGACTCTGCTTAACTACTCCGAACATCTTGAGAGAACCTGCTTAAAGGTGTCCCCACCAAGTGGGAGGTACATGGGGTGAGAGCTAGGTGACAGGGCTTTTCTGAAGAAAAATGCAAAGCATACTCCATACTTTGGAATACACTTTCCCCAGAGATATGTCTGTCCCCCTCCTTCCATTTTCCAAGGCAATTAAAATATTACTTTTGCATTGTGCTTTTGGCCAGTATTGATAGTGGGTATGCAAAGAGATTATTACTTTAATTATTACCTCATTGTTTTATTCTGTTTAATCCTGCTTTGTTGTTCACCATCTGTGGTCTTCATTGATCACAGCGGTTTACAAATATTGTAAAATTAATGAATAAATACATCAGTATTCCGACGATGATGACACAAAATGTAACGGACAAAATATAAGAAGCTTTTAGGCTGAACTCCTAAACTTCACCCCAATTATCTGAAAGTAAGCTTATTGAGCTCAGTGGGACTTTCTTCTGAATTGTCATACATAGGATTGCAGAAATACTATCATGCCTGAACTTTTTACAGAAAAATTACAGAGTTAGATTCAACAATTAAATTCTCACGGTAGTATTATATTGTATTATATTATAAGTATATATTTAATGTTATAGTACTGTATATTCATATATAATATCATATCAAATAATGAGAGTTTGTTGGATGGGAAGAGAGAAATGTCCTTTTAATACCTATATATCACTGGCTTTGCTTCTGTCAGGAGTGGGAAGGGGGAATAAGAATTTCTTTCACTTAGCTAGATAAAACACTTTCAACAACATTTGAAAAACCATATGTGACTCATTCCTGACACTGAATCTAGTTACATTTCTCTGGGGTTTCACTGAAAATTTGAATGCATAGCAGTTGAATGAACTATGGTTGTTGGTGTGTTTGACTTTTGGATTCTGCCTTTTAGCTTGCCATGACTCACCCAAGCCATCACTTGAACTTTGGAATGAATCCAGACCATGCCAGAAATTCCTTATCAAATTGTGGGATTCGGCAACCCAAATATGGGGATAGGAAAGTTCACCATATGCATATGAGGAAAAAAGGTCAGTTGGATTATTTTTCCTGTTGTCATTTCCTCCTTTCTCTTGACATGAGCATTGAAGTTGCTTCCAAGAATTCTTCATCTGGGCCTTTTAAAAAGCAAGTTGGGGTAGTAGCACATTTAATGTTTCTTCATAAATATCCTCCCTGTAATTATCAGACTATATCAGACCACAGGAAATTATCTTACCAGAGTGAGAGGGTGCTACAATGCTGAACAGAAGTCTTTTGAATGCTTCTTTAAATGTGACATTGTATTTTATAGGCATAAACACCTTGATCAATATTATGTCACGTCTTGGTCAAGATGATCCAACTCCTTCCAGGTACTTGTATTTACATTTTTTTCTGACTGGAGATAGGAAGAATGTAGGTATGTGGTGGTGATACTCACATTATATTATGCCTGCATTGGCTCCTTGATGGAGCACATATTCAGAATTCCAGTTAAACTAGTAGGAACATGGTGCATTTACAGTGAGAGAGCATGTGGTAAAATGCTGGAGAAGATACAAGTTCACAAATGCAGAAGGACAGCCGGTTCAGTATAAACCAGGATTTGCAACTCAGGGGCCAGCTTCAGTTACAAAATGTATAAGCCTATCTGTACAGGTAGTGCTCACTTAACGACCACTCATTCAGTGACCATTCAAAGTTACGATGGCACTGAAAAAGGAGATTTACGACCGGTCCTTGAAGTTGTGGCCATCACAGCATTCCCACAGTCACGTGATTGCCATTTGTGACCTTCACAGTGGGCTTCCAACAAGCAAAGTCAATGGGGTAGTCGGCAGGAAGTTGCAAGTTGCAGTCACGTGTGATTTGCTTCATGACTGCAGCCGGAACTGATGTTGTAAGTTGGGCACAGTCACTTGATGTTTCACTTTACGACCACATTGCTTAGCAACAGAATTGCCTGTCCCCTCACAGGCTAACCTAATATTTGGTTTATTCTTAGCTTTATATTAATGCTAACCCAAGTTTCCACATTAATTGGCATTTGAAAGCGACTACAAACTCTGGTTAGCACCAAGAAAGGTTAGTATCTGTTATAGATGTGATACTAGAACTATTTCTGGTGTCTATTTCTCGTGCTGGTTTTCTAGTTTGCAAGGAGCTACAGTCACCATGAGAGCCATTTTGGTGTAGTGGTTAGGGCATCAGGCTAGAAACTGGGTGACCCTGAGTTCTAGTCCTACCTTAGGCACAAAGTCAGCTTGGTGACTTTGGGCCAGTCAGTCTCTCTCAGCCCTAGGAAGCAGGTGAGGGCCAACCACTTCTGAAAAACCTTGCCAAGAAAACTGCAGTGACTAGTCCAGGCTGTCGTCAGAAGTCAAAAACTGACTTGAAAGCACCAAGAACAAAACAAAACCAGCTGCCATATGTCTGCAGTAGAACCCTCTGTTTTGAACAAAAGCCATCTGGATACTCTGTAACAACTGGATCTCTCAATCTCAGTTTCTCTCTTTGTGCATTAATAATTTGAATAAAACATTCTTTCCCTGGCAACAAAGAAATGCTTACTCATATAGCGTGAAGCCCATATTTGATAGGAACAGTATTTTATGAGCTGGGCTGGAATCAGAGAAAGAAAAAATGCTAGGTGAATACTAATGGATAATAGCTGTGACCACATTTACATTTTGGGGATGAGTCTACTGGACTAGCTATAGTTCTTTACCCTGGTAGTCATTAATGTGTGGTCTGGCTCTCTTCTCAAGTGGAATCAAGTGTAATTGATCCAGTCTGTGCAATCTTCTGCCTTCTTTTCTTTTTCCTTTTGTTGTTGTTGTCGAAAGGGAGGCTCTTGATCATGCATTCATGAGCATGGTGTGAAGCATTGCGTATGTCAATGTAGGTAAGTAGCAGGAGCCCAAACCTATCAAATGCAGAGGTGTCTGCCATTCTGAATTGTACCTATGAATGTTTCTGAAAAGTTGCAGCTTCAAACAGCAAGGGAGATGAGAAGCTGCAGTTAATTTCATTTTGTTGTCTGGAAAAAGGGATTGAATATATCTGATATCAGATGATTGGTCCATATTATCTGATATTGTGTGGTTTGGTTGATTATGTACCATCAAGTCATTGTTGACTCTTAGTGACCACATAGATAGATTTTCTCCATGATGATTTGCCCCTGGTCTTTCAGGTCTTCCCTCTGTGCACCCGTTGCCACATCACAGCATCTGATTATCTTTTCCAAGGCCCTCGTGGCTGCTCTACCAAGGGCTAGTCTGCAGCTTCTTTTTTGACTGCTTTTTGCTTTACTGTTGATAGTTGATCCTAAAATACAGAAACTATCCACCACTGCAATATCTTCATTGTCCGTCCCCTCAGTTCTAATATTTTGTACTGTATTTCAAATATTCAAAGTACATCAAGATTTCTGGCTGATGGCCTCAGCCCTGAAGCCCAAGTATCATTTAATTAGCATGCAGAATATGTGCTCGGCTGCTAAGAAATCCTGGGGTGAGTGCTCTAACTAGGCAGGGCTATGGGCTACATGACATTTACAGCTGGTAGGAGTAAAGGGAAAGAATCTCCATGGATGGGTCAATTCTAGTTGGAGTAGGCAGTCCTGAAGGAGCCTAAGTGCCCAGCCACCTATGGCTTTATAAGTCAAAACTAGCCCTTTGAATTGCAACTAGAAATCTGTTGGTAACCAATATGGGGCAGACAGAATAGGTGTAATGTGACCATAGCAACTAGCACCAGTCAATACATGGAACACTGTATTTTGGCCAGTTGGATTTTTGAGGTAGATTTCAAAGGCAGTTCTATGTAGCGTTTATGGTCAAACTGTGTGGTGATAAGGGCATCAGTCAGCATAGCCAGGTTGTTCTACTCTAGAATGATGTTCCCGGAGCCTCTTTTCTTCTGGATTGTGGAGAGAAATGTGGGCTAAAGAATTGTCCAGTGCTGACATATTCCATGGGAAATTTCTACTTCAGCAGGCTTGACAATTTGAAGTTTACTTTTTGTTCTCAATAATTAAGATAACAAAGTACAATGTAATTTCATATTATTTCGTTATTGCCCAGCATTGTTTCCAATATTCCAATAAAAATAATTTTTCTCCATGTCAAAGTTACTTTCTTTGAATGTCACTACTTTCTTTGTATGCTCAAACTTCATAAAGTGGAATAGATTTTTCTCATAAAATAATATAGCCCAAATACTTGTGCAGATTAATCATACTCATTTAGCGTAGGAACATTTTCCAGAAACGTTTGCAATTCAAAATTTAATGGGAAACCTGCCTATCAGCTTGTGTGGAGAGCTGAATTTTATAGGCTGTGTACCAATCTTAGGCTTTATCTGATGACACTGTGTAATTACAGCAGTGTCGTACATGTTACAGTTGAATGATTTTGATGCTCTTTGCTTCTGTGTAAAATGAAGGGGCAACTAGCCCTTTTTCTCTACAGAAGAAATATTCAGCATATTCAGATCAGATATTTATTCCCTTCCCCCTCATTCTTAATTAATTTAAATCTGTACTTCTGTACTTTATATACTGTACTGAAGGTACTGTATACAGTATATAAAGAAATATTTGGTATTTGTAGGATACAAGTGGGACATATATTGATATTGTTATTACTGCTGTTACAGTTACAATGCTTTTGAAATGCCAGCCAGTCTTCCATGTCTCTTTGACGAAACACCATTTCTTTCTCTATCCATTTAGTTTTCCCCTTTTTTCCAACCATCACCCAGCATTCCATAGTCAGTAAGCATGCCTAGACTTAATTTGGCTTCCTTCCTTCCTTCCTTCCTTCCTTCCTTCCTTCCTTCCTTCCTTCCTTCCTTCCTTCCTTCCTTCCTTCCTTCCTTCCTTCCCATA